ACAGTCAGTACTCTTAACTACTGAGCCAGCTCTCAAGCCTTCTGGCGCTCTCTCTCTCTCTCTCTCTCTCTCTCTCCTTTCTTTTTTTTGTAAAATGTGAGTTAAAGAACATTAATAATAGTAGTAGTATCCTTTTTCTTTCTTTTTGATACAGGGTCTCATGTAGCTCACTTGGCTTCAACAGCCTTCTGCTGTCTCCTTTTGCCAAGTGCTAGGATTGTAAGTGTGTGCCACCAAGCATAACTTATTAAACCATATCTAAACTGATTCTCATTCCATTAGATTAGTAATGTTACCTATTGTCTTTACAGTTTCTTTCAGCTGTGACCATCTGTGTTTCATGAAACCACTGCCATGTAGAAATGCCAATGATCAACTCTTTAGTGCCTCAGGAATCTCAGAGTTTCACAGTCTGCACCATCCACTCAGCAACCGCCAATCATCTCTCCACTTATTCAATAAGCATTTCTCTTTTGCATCACACTACACATCATGCGATGTGCCAAAGTCATGGCTCCCCCTGTAGAGTATGACTAACATCCTAAAAGAGGTCACAGACGTGCAGTGTCACTCATTAAGTAAACACACTAATACATAATTTAAAAACCTTGATAATGCTATAAAGGCCAAGTATAGAAGTCTTGACAGCATGGAGTCTTGTCTGGTTGGGGGACAAACAAAGCCAGGCCCTCCAAAGAGACAGCTTGAACTGAGATGCGTGAACTGGTTGCCTGTAGTGATGGTTGGGTGAGGACTGGGGCATTGGGTCAGATGCTGTGTTGGGCCTGCTTTCTAATGGAAAGATAGTTTCTAAGTCACTTTCTCAAAACTATTAGTAAAGAAAAATACCATTATTTCTTCTATGGGAAAGAAGGAATTCAGAAACATTTACATCTGATCTCAGAAGAGCGTCTGCTGAATTTGCCAGCACACTTCTGATTTACCCAGACTTCACCTGCACAGCTCCTCCAGCCCTTTTAACTTCATACCTTGAGAAAGTCACTTGACTTCCCTAGGTCTCAAATTTCTCATCCATAAAACATGAGGCTAGGGTTTTATTTATATGGTTTTAAAGGTCTCTCTCATATTCAGCATTCCTTGTTTCTAGAAATAAACTGGAGTTAGCCAGGGAGAGGACATAAATCCTACAAAGCAGACTTGCAGCTTTATTTCAAAATCAAAAATCAGCTTGCATTCATAGTACAAAAAAATATTGTAGGAAGGGTAGTTATTGAAATGCATGTTGGATGTAACCAAAAATAGCTAATGCATCGGCAGTTAGTGCAGGGAAACTGCGATGGAGTGTTTCCTTGGCAACCAGAGTAACTCAAAGGTAAAGCAACTGGGTTTGATCAAAGACTAGTTTCTTCACGTCTCTTTATGGGCTCTTTAATAATAATTCAGTATAAAGGGGAAAACGGTTGACAAATTCATTTCACTGAAAAGCAAAGGTCATCCAAAAACAACAAGAAAAATGGCAATTCGGTTGAGGCAAACAAGCAAACCCTTGAACTGGAGAGGTATGATTGACCTATGTGCCCTTGAAGGGCACATGACCTAGAACACTGGCTCCTTCAAGCTACTAAATTGTTTGCGAGAATCAAACCAGAATTCACATGAATCTGACATCTGTGGATCTGGATGTAAAGCTTTGGATTTCAAACGAAAGTCAGCTCTTTCCAGAGAAGGATAAAGGACAATGGCTGCAGTTTCTTAGCATGCATAGTCAATGCTGCAGAGGTTGCTAGGCAACGGCAGAAAGGCTGTCAAGCATCCCCTGGTGCATCCAATGGAATAGGAGCAACCCAAGCCACTGCAGAGAGGTGAGAGGCCATGCAGTCCTGGAAGAAATGTTCAGTTTGGCATTGCTTAAACAGTGAAACACAAACATAAATCATTTTGTTATGGTCAGAGAATAAATGGTGAATTTTCCTCCGAGAGTTCTGAATACATTTTCAACTGGAGCAAACCCCTAGAAGTGGGTGTGCCCTGGTTGCAGGTTGCAGAGAGGCTCTGTGCAAGGTTGTTCTGACCTGATTCACCCTGGAGCTCACAAAGACTCACCTCTGAGTTCCAGAGGGTTGGCACGGCTCCCCGCCTGAAGCCTGGGTTATAGCAGGCAACCCCCTGACTTAACAAACATTTGTGTTCAAGGTCGTTGCTATGAAATTCCTTAGGTCTGTGGTCATGAAGTAAGAGTAAAATCTTAATTTACTGTCCCTTTGTCCCTATTTCAGGTGACAATTTCATTTTAACTCCAAGGAGACTAGCAAAGAAGTCAGGATTTGACAAAGGGTCAAGTACCTTTTCTTTCTTCCCCTAGCAGCACTGTTTAATGAACAAACATTGATCACAGACCGTTAATTTGCAGAAAGATACTTGGTGAAGCCAGACAGCACATGAAGAATGAGTGCTAGGTCTGATTCAAAGAATTTGAGCTATAATTGGGCCTTAAACAAGAACAGCGTCTAATTGACAATGGTAATGGGAGACAGATCCAACACGAATTATGTTGTGAACACAAAAGCAGAATGGAAATTGGTCTTCTAAAGTCCAGTTGAGGTTGGGCAGGGGTAGACGAGTACCTATGTAAGAACCATCAGTTCATCCCTCATTGCTAGTAGACGAGGCTAGCCACTTGTTTTTTGTGTCTGCCCAAAAGGGATCTGAACGGACACATTGTGAATTTAACCACACAGCACCTTTTCCTTAAGGGCACTGCAGAATGACAGAAAGGTCAGTACAGGGCAGGGATGTGAGGCTAGAGTTCCAGAAAACTCTGCTGGATGCCCATATATCTGGCCAAGATGTCTCGGCTATTCCCACACTGCCATTTAGAATCCCTGGTTATCCAGGAGTTTTACATACTTAAGGGGTAACATATATACCACTGTGAAGTGAACTCAGAGTCTGAAGCCTTGGTTAGGCTTCCTGACTGGATGCCAAATAGAGTGTAAGACACAGATCCGGCATTTTGCTGATTTGATACAAATGGTTACATTAGGGATAGACAACCCCTGTGATTCTTCCAGCCTGAACACTTGTTCATCTATAAAATTGCAAAAAATAGCAACACATTTGGTCTCATTTATTCCCAAAGATAGATAAAGAAGACTGAAGAAGAAAGCAGAGACTAGAGATAAGACACTGCCAAGGACCCTGAGTATGATCATCAGGGAAACTTTGTTGAAAGAAAGGAGAAAGTAGCAAGAACAAGAGTGGGGATGGTCACCTCCAACCATCACACTCCTTCCCGCGGGAGTTTTTACTCCATCTGGTCCCACATCTCCTTAGAACAGCCCTCTTCTCCCCTCCTTTCTCAAACTTCCATGCATTTTTCTGCATCAAAGCCATAATGTGTATTTGACAGCTGCTAATTTCTAGAGCCACTGGTCCTCTAGTTGTTGAAATGTGCCTCTCTTAAGGGTTTTCTGGGAGTTTATGAGCATCGTGGTTCTCTGGACAGGGCTTCTGAAATTCTTCAGATCATGAGGAAAGAAGATGCACAGTGTTTTCATCTGAACAAAAAACTTCACAAACTGCCTGAGCTTCACATTCAGGATAGGTGCCTTCATGAATAATTTTATTCTCTTGATTATCCATGTGTGTATAATAAAACCTGGTATTATAATGGAATATGTACCAGATTTCCTAAGGAAACAAAACACTATCTAGGTTATAATGACTAAATAAATATGATTCATGCAAATAAATGGTCCCTGTTTAGCAGAAACATAACTCAATAAAACTTAGTCATCTTTCATTAATCTAAAAGATTAATTTTTATCACATTAGCCACCTACACGTTCATTTGCCACTTAACACTTTTATAATAATTGTGTGACCTTTTAAATCCTTAGTATCCATACATCAAAAATACCTGGTGAGTTTTCAAAAAAATTATAATACATGCTTAATAGATCTGCCTAAGTTAGTTGTGGTATTTTTCTTAAGCTCTAAGAAGCTCAAAAGAAAACTATCTCTTTTAATGATATTATTCAAGTTACTGAGGAAAAAAACTCTTTTTAAGTTTGGAGAAAGATGACTGGTGTGGGAAGTCCTTCTGTATATGTGTTGCTTTTATTGGTTAATAAAGAAGCTGCTTTCGGCTGATGGCTTAACAGAATGTAGCCAGGCTGGAAGAGATATATATATAGAGAGAGAGTAGGTGGAGTCAGGGAGAAGCCATGTAGCCCCACCAGAGACAGACACTGGATAAAACGTTACCCAGTAAGACACAGCCATGTGGTGATACACAGATTAATAAAAAGAGGTTAATTTAACATATAAGAGTTAGCCAGAAACATGCTTAAGCTATTGGGCAAACAGTATTGCAGATAATATGGTTTCTGTGTGATTATTTCGAGTCTGGGCAGCTGGGAATGAACCAGAGGCTCCGACAAGAGGAGACTATGATGAAGACCTTTTAGATATCTATGTTTTGTAGAAACCCTACGTTCACTAGGATGGTAGAATCTAGAGGATATGCCATATGACTCTGGGTGAAACTTTGTCTCTGCTATAAAAAATATCTGTGGTTTCATGCAGTTTGGGAGAGACAAGTATAGATGGCATATAGGAAAAATCAGTGCAACAGAGTCGATATGATTTCCTTCTGGAACCTAGAAAGTGTGACAAGTTCCGGGTAGTGGAGTTACGAGCACCTGGTACCAGAGGAGACGCGCTTGCATCGTAGCTTAGCCGATTGAATTCTGTTTGATCCCATTGACCTGGATCTAGAATTTGGTCAGCATAACTTTAAGGAGATTCTTGGAGCTAATCATGACCAGCAGATTGGATGGTTGCCCCCGAGAATCACTTCTGACAGACATTCGAATGTGACCCAAATGTCCTGACTACTCATTTAGGCAGAAGAACTAAAAACATGTGTACTGTTGAAGGCACGTACTCCCAGATGGGTGACCTAAAATACCATAAAATTAAACTCCCACCCTTTAGTGGGACCATGAACAAGGAGATACTCCAGAATGTTCTCTTACCTTTACGGCTACCAGGATCTTATCCTGCTCAGGACAGAGGTTGTAGCATTCTGCCAGGAAAACTTTTCCAAAGGCTCCTTCCCCAAGCTCCCTCTTCAGAACGATGTTATGCCTCTTGATGTGCTGAACAACTGTGAGACAAAGACACACGTCATTCAACAGCCGCCTAAGACTGTCACAATGTGCTTAGGGCCACTCCCTTCCCACCGGCTAGTTCACGACGTTTGGAGGGGACTGAGCACCTGCACCCCTGGAAGCAGCAGAACCCTAGACAGCTCCTCTGGAGACGCTATTTTTCAAAAAAATTCGAGCGGTGATCAAGGTTTTGATTGGATGGGAATTATCCTCCCCAATAATTCTCATGGTTCTGGTGTCTGTGAGTCTCTGGGGACTCTGAGCAGTACTGTTCATGAATATAAGGACCCAGATTTACATCCTGTGTGCTGGTGGCACATCGGGTTTCAGAGGAACGAGCTGAGCTCATTAGGAGAGTGCCCTGTAAAGTCAAAGGACTCCCCACTTAAATCCTGACTTTCCTCCTGGCCTGTCATGTACTCATCATGTGGAAACTTGATTCCCACTTCCCACTCCAGTAAGTCCTAGGCAAGCATTTGACGGTTTAGCGTTTGATTAACACGCTGGTGGCAGGGTAGTTAAAGCCACAGCTGATTTCACTGTTTTCAGAACTAGAGTTGAGAACAGTTCACCGGCGTTGAAACTGAGAGCAGAAGACAGATTTTTCTTTAAGGAAATGGCTCTCAGCATTTGCTGGCTTCTTTGTGATTTGGGGCATAGATTATCTGAAAATGTCCTTTGCCAATGTGTTACCTCCAACACAGTAAATGTCTCTTTTATACTTTGGGTCACAAAAATTTTGTGATAGTCAGAAATAGTCTGCATACTAAATATTACTGAAAGATCTCATTTCCCAATTTGATGACACTCTACCAGTTAATTGAAGCAATCATGCAACAAATCAGTCCGAGTCTCTGGAAATCCAGGAATGGGGAAGAATGAACAAATCAACAAACAAAACACATCAACAACAAAAGCCAAAATCTGAAGTTTCCACACTATTGAGCTAGTAAGATTAATTTTTGCCATATTCCTCCATGATAACACCACGATAACCTAACGTGTGCTTCACTTTTCTGTTTCCCTTGAACAAGCCAGGAAGCCCTGCCCATCGCCAAGTCTCTTCCATGGAGCCTGCCATCCATATCCCAGCAGCCCTCTTGTTCCTGCCAAAGCTCAACCATTCAGGTTCCTGTGCAGTTCATGAATCGGGTCTGCAATTCCACGGGCTGCAGGATACATCCAGGTTTGTAGCCTTCTCAGATGAAGGCCACGCCCTGCCTTCTTCCTGCGAGTCAAACCTGCATTGTGTTTCACCTTCCTCCTGGCAGACTCCCAGGTATTCTGTAGCTTCACTTAGGGATCCAACCTGCATCCTCTCTGCCCTGTCTTTGCTGACACCTTGGATCCTCCAGTCACCCAACCAAACACCTGCCTCCCATTTCCCCTCTTGGGTCTCAGAGCTCAGGGAACGGAGAGATTCAGGAACTTGCCTGAGCATTACACCACCAGGCTGCTGTCTGCCCTTTGTGTTTTGGTGGTGAAGAGTCCACAGGCAGAGGGCAGTTTGCTTTAGCTCTTGGTTAGACTTTAAGCAGAATGTCCTGGGAGTGAGTCTCTCAGGGAGGAAAGCGCTTCAGCGGGCCTCCCTTTTCCTTTCATCCCTTCCCTTAAAAAGCCCTATGATCTATGCTCCATTTTCCTTCCAATACCCCAATATCACGTAAGCAGGGAAACGTCCCACCTGCTTCCTTCCCCTGAGATCAGTTACCCTCAGCTTTTTACTCTGGAAACTTTGACGAAAATCACTGCAAACTCAACATTAAAAATTAAATGAGGGGCCAGGAGGCAGAGGTACATGCCTTTAATCCCAGCACTTGGGAGAAAGAGGCAGGTGGATCTCTGTGAGTTTGAGGCCAGCCTGGTCTACAAAGTGAGTTCCAGGACAGGCTATAATGCTACACAGAAAAACCCTGTCTCGAAAAACAAAACAAACAAACAAAAAATTAAATGAGAGTCAGTTAGATGCTCCAGAGGGTAAGGACAAGCCTGACAAGCTGAATTTGATTCCTTCAACCCACATGGTGGAAGGAGAGAACTGACTCCTGCATATTCTCCTCTGACTTCCACACAGACACAGAAACACACACACACACACACACACACACATACACACACACACACTCAGAAACACATACACAGAAACGGAAACACACACACAGACACAGAAAAACACACAGACACGGAAACACACACACAGACACAGAAAAACACACACAGAGAGACACGGAAACACACACACACACACACACACACACACACACACACACATTAAATCACTAAGGTAGAAATGTCAATGATTAAGAGTCCCAATTCCCTCACAAACTGCTCCCTCTGTTTGGAGGAAAACTCAAGACAAGAGCTTTGCGGAGTTTTCTTTGAAATATATCCTGTTTCTGTGCCCACACTCCCCTGTCCCCAAGTGGATATCATCGATGGAATTTTCCAGACTGGAAATTTGGCCTTCTTGGTCATTTGCCTCATGAGCAGTAGGAAAGAGCAAATTTTCAGTATTATATTGCAATCATATCATCATCATTGAAAATAATGCACTCGGCCACAAAGTGGCTGTCCCAGCTTAACTCGCCTCCTGCCTCAGACACATTTAAATCCAATTCTTGGTATAGATTCCCCCAGAAGCAAAAATGTTATGCACATTCAAAGGCAATAAAGTATCAATCCATGTCCATATCCATTATTACGGGATCCAAAACTAATAAAGATATAAATAACTATGGCTCTATCCACTTAAGGTCTCAAGCAGGAAATGTGTCTTTCCCATTTCCAGGGTAATGGTATTTCATAGAAACCTTGGCCCCACAAACACAGCCTGCCTAGCTCATGGGACGTAAAGAGGACTCCATTGAGTGCCCTTCTAACGCCAAGAGCTAAGTGACCAGACATTTTTTTTAAGGTATTTATAGTTCTGGGGCAGAAGGTACTGAATAGGAATGGGGGCTTTCAGTGGGGTTCTCTGACCCTCCTGTTTCCCTACAGTCCTGGTGCCAGGCTGTAGACTGAACCCGGAGATAGGAGACAGACTTTCTCGCCATCAGGATCAGCCCCTGCTGATGTTGAAGTGAAATGGACATTTCATGGGCGACACCTTTTTCCACTAGAATACTTCAGACTCCTGCCTGACCCTCTGTAGGCCGCTGGACATCTCATGATGAACATTTCATTAGGAAACTGCCAACAAACGCAGAACATGAAAGTGAAAAACAGAATATCCAGTCATTGGCTGGCACCAGTTGGGTGCTAACTATCTCAGTAGATGGCAGTCTATGGAGTCCAGTCAATTACTGCTCAACTTTCGGAATAAGTTTGTGTGAAGATGGAAATAATGTTTTGGATTTTCATCTACATTTTTATTCTGTTGCAAATCAGTACTAAATTGAAAATAAACATCTAAGTTCACAGATGAGAAGCAGCACCCAGACAACAAAAGACTGAATATTCACAGATTGTACTATTGAGGAAGTGGTACAGGAACCACCACTGAGCCATCCGCAAGGAGTTTAGAGCAAAGCTAAAAAAAATGTGCCCTACTATTAATTAATTTCCATACCCCACAGAGTGAGGTCAACAGTCACATCTATCTTACAGATGACATCACGGTTAACTGACTTTGTGTGCTCATAGAGAATCCACTTGCTGGTGCTTTTCCAAGCACAGTTTCCACTACGAAGAGGGAAGAGGCACCTTCCACATGCTGACTGCTATCATGGGCTCGAAGATATGTGGAGGCTTTGGAGAGTCCTGAGCCCTCACGGCAGTCTGCTAGGGCAGTCTTACCTCCGTTTTCACATTAAACACAAAGAAATGATTAATGCTCTTGACTCTACCCCCACAGTAAGTAGGGAGCTTCCTAAGAAGAGTCTTCATGACAGAGATCAAAGAAAAAAATGAGTGCACAGAACTGGAGAGATGGGTAAATGGTTAAGAGTACTTACTGCCCTTGCAGGGGACCCAGGTTCTGTGCCAAACCCTCATGCGGCCGCTCATAACCAACTGGCACAGCGGTTCCTGGGACTCTATCGCCCTTTTCTGGCCTTCTCTGGCATGGATGCAGTACACACACACACACACATGCAAGCAAAGCACCCATATACATTTTTAATTAAAAAATTTAATAAAATAAATATACAACACAAAAGCCACCCTTGGCCTAAGTTTTGCACAGGGAATCCACATGGTCTCAATAATCCATGGAGGTAAGAGTGAGCCTATGGGTATACACAAGAATGCTCTGGGCGGAAGCTGACAAACGGGTGTGATTTCCCTGAACCTGGTTCTGGGTCTAGATTACATTAGGTTATCAAAATTCTTACATGAATAAATAACAGCACAAGCACACAGGAATAGGCACGTAACTGAGAAAGAGAACATAATGGTGGAAACAACATGAAAGTGGGGAAAGAGAAAGGATGAAGAGGAGGCAAAGACTGGGTGTGTTTAAGAAGCCATGATCAGTCATGTTCCCACCCCCAAAAGCAGCAGGTGGGACAGTAGGAAAGGAGGGTGGAGTTGGGGCGTAGAGCACCTCTAATAGCTTCCAAAGTCACTCAGATGGAGTCTCACACTAAGAAACAGGGACTTGAGTATGAATGACTTCATTGTGCTGCTTTCTACGTCCTCATCTGTAAAGGACTGAACTGGGAATAAATGATACCTTGGGATTTCTCCAGGACATGCATTCTACAATCTATGATTTCTGGTAATCTATTCATCTGTCAATACACCAGTAATATATCCATCTTCTACCTATCTATCCATCTATTTATCTGTCATCTATCTACATATTATCTATCCACTTGTCTATCTGTCTGTCTGTCTGTCTGTCTGCCTATTGTCTACCATCTACCTACTTATCTGTCTATCTGTTCATCCACATCCATCCTTTGTTTCAGCTCTATGGAGCTACAGCAGGTCTTTGTACAGAGGAAGAAGCAATGTGTACACCAAGACAAGGTTATTCTGGCTGTGGTAAAGCCAG